TGGCTTTTTGATTGATGAAGCACAATAATTTTTTTTTTAAGTATTGCATTTGAATATGGATGCAGTTGTTGTTTGTATCAAGGTGTTTGCAGACATCCATTGCGATGTCACTGTTTAATAACTGTTATGTGTACATTCAGGGTTTTTCCATAAGCAAAGCCCTCTTGTGAAATGAGCACAGCACCTCCCTGTTCTTGCTGTATTTAGCTAATTCATGGGTGATAAGATGCAAAGTGACTTTATTTGGTAATGAATTTATGACACAGGTGAAACTTAAGTTTTTATGAATATTTATTTCATTGCTTTCGCTTCTGTGGAAGGGCATGCACAAGTAAGTACAGAACCTTTGAATTGTTTTTGTTTCCTTTTCTTTATTTGTTAATTTATTGAAAAGTTATGCGATGCATGAAGACTGATCAGAATATTAATTGTGTAGAGAGAATTGTGCAGGCCAATAGATCCTCATTATTACATGAGTAGTAATGATTAGAAGTACCTGGAATGATCTTGAGTATTCTAGTTTGACTTAAAACTAAGGAGGGAACTGGAATAGGTTAGATGTATTGGTTCTTGTTGAGTACATCAGTTAGCATACACTCTATTTCTTATAGGACCATGACAGAACCGGTAGTTGACCTCGTCCACCACCAGCGGCGAGTTGGCCTGGTTCTATGGCACCCGACGGCAAATAATATCCTCCTCTCAGCTGGCTCAGATAATGTGATTGTCATCTGGAACGTGGGCTGTGGTGAAGCTCTGATCACCATTGACTCAGTTCACCCAGACCTCATCTATTCGTGTAGTTTCAACTGGGATGGCTCACTCCTCCTAACCACCTGCAAAGACAAAAAGATCAGGATCATCAACCCGAGGGATGGTGAAGTGTTTGAGGTTAGTGCTACGTCTTCTATTCTGTCATGACTTCTGCTATGGTAATGACATGAACTTTACCATTACCATCACTAATGCCACCATTACTATCATCACCACTACTACTACCATCACTACCACTAGTATTACTATAAATAATATCGTTACCAGCATTACCACTATTCCTACTACTATCACTGGTACCACTGCTACCAACATCACCATGACCATCACCACCACCATCACTATATCATTAGAAAGCTCCTGTGGTTTTGCCTCTTCCTACTCATCATTTTCCCTATTACAAATATTAATTCTACACAAGGTTGGATCTAGGTGCCTCGCTGCCAATATCTGGGCATTAGGCTTGTGTGTGTGGCAACACTCCTGGAATTGTGGCCTGTAGGCCTGGCCCCATTTTCTGAGGTCTATATTTGTCATTTGTTACAGTGTATCAACATGGTAATAATTTGTTTTCCTTGTGCAGACTAAATGTTATATCTAGATAGGCTGCACCTCTGTAATGAAAATGGTAACTTGTATTTTGTCATTTTTAGATATTTTGTATTATTCAGTTGGTATAGTTTTAGTTTCACACTACCTTATGGTATAAGGTCAACTTTGTCTGTAATAGATAGTGACAGAAAGTAAGAATTTTTTTTCATATATGTATTTCCTTTACAAGGTGTACTAAGAAAGTTGTGCAACACATAATATTAGGAATACAGTCACAGAAAAATGTTATGACACTGTTATAAAGAAAGTAAAAAGCTACAACCATTTATCCTTTAAATAATCTACATAGGCAAAGAATTATGTCAGAAATGGAGAAGGTAGGTTGGGACTAATGCCGGTGGAAAGGCAACAGTGATTGGGTGGGGATCTGGGGATGGAGCCTTCACCCCTGGGTTAGAAAGGTTTTTCGGTCATATTGCAATGTTTGTTGATTCCTTAGAGTGGCTGAAGTAATAGTAACTTGCCATCATAGGGGTGCTGTCAGTTTGTAAGCAGTTACCAATACTTTCATCTATATCATAGAAAACAACAACAAATTTACACTCATTATGATGTGAATAACTAAAACAAGGAACAGTAATTGCAACAGTTGGATAGCTGTGTGAAATGCAAAAATTACCCGTCAGTCTTGTATAACATGCCGGTCACAATGGATAGGAATAGGATCCTGAATATGGAAATAGTGTCCTTCCTGCAGCCAGTGATTGTTTATTCCACCCTTGTTTACTGGTTGAAATAATGCAGGTACCTCATCCTAAATGTTCACTGACTCTTACTCTTCCTCCAAGTGTTTTGTGCTCTCATGATGAAACATTCCTATCACATCAGTTTGAGCCAAAATTTTCAAGATGTCACAGTCCTGTCATCCCAGCTGACAGCCAGATTTTTTCATGATGGCATAATCCTGTCTCTCAGGCCTCAACTAAATTTTTTCATGATGTGACAGTCATGTCACCCAGGTCTGATAGGTTATTATACTTGCTTTCAGTACTATTCTTGTGGTTGCTTTTTACAAAAACATCAGGTATTAGTACATCCTTAGGCTATACTTAGTATTTTTTTGATTGCCTAATTCTTTTTTTTTTCTCTCTTTTTTTTTTCAAAAGGAAGCAAC